GACAAAAGTCTTGTTGCCTATAACAAAAAAAATAATAATTTAACTTCTAGTTGATCATTTGGTATCAGAAGTGGCTTATTTAAAAGGCAAAAGCCTCTAGATTACGCTTATTTAAGCTAAATAAAATATGATTATGCCTTATATGTTATAGTATAGAATATAAAGTCATAGTGTAGTAAGAGAATTAATATTGTCTATGACTCACATGAGCTTGGAGGACTGCATGCATATATCTCTGCAATGACTCGGATAACTTATTAATAAAGTCATCTGGAATGGCAAAGAAAGCATTCTTGCAGGACTCCCAGAGTTCATCATGATTCTTTGGTTTTATATTCAATGCCGCCGCCTTCAACTTTTTCCAGACATGCTCAATAATGTTTAGCTCTGGTGACTGGGCTGGCCAATCCTGGAGCACCTTGACCTTTGCTTTCAGCAACTTTGATGTAGAGGCTAAAGTATAAGAAGGAGCGCTATCCTGCTAATGAATTTGCCCTCTCCTGTGGTTTGTACTAGTGTAATGTGTAGCACAAATGTCTTGATGAATGTAACCCCAAACCATCATTTTTCCTTCACCAAACTTGACTGAATTCTATGGGAATATTAAATCCATCCATGCGGGTCCCAATAGGTCTTCTGCAGTATTTGTGATGATTGGGATGCAGTTCAACAGATGATTTATTGGTAAAATCTATCTTCTGCCACTTTTACAAATTATCAACTAGAAGCTAAGTTATTATGTGTTGCTCTTACAACTGGGATGGACAGCAAGACTTTTGTCAGGTAGTGTACATGCACATTGTTAAATCAACAATTGCTACATTATAGCAGATATCATTATGAAAGATGTTAAGGATTTTATGCAATATTTAGTTTTCTTCCATGCTAAGCTGTCTTTTGAGTTCACACTTTAAGACTAGTTTATAGTTCATTTACATTTCAAAATAATGCTTAATATTTTCTATTACTGTTCAAATTGTCCCATGGCTATTTCAAATATCTCTGACACCTCTGCTGTAAACATCTTTTAAATGTTTACCTTACAATCAAAGCATAATGTGTGTGTTGTGACTCGTGTTATTTAGGTTGTGTTCTTGACATTTTCTTGTCCTTGACATTTTTGTTTACTTTCTGCTCCGAGTCTTGCAAATAACCTACAAGCACACATTTGATTATTCGTTCAGAGGCCAGAAATATTATGTTGAGATCTAGATCCACCTAGGGAGCTTGTAATAACCTTAGTCACGGTGACATCCTGCAAATGGAGCTTTCAGAACATGTATTAAATCTTATTTTTAGCTTAACAGGAAGTTGGGGATTAAAGCTTTATCTACTTTTTTCTTAGTATAATTAGTGAAGATTTCGCTTTATTTCTCTTTTTAGCTTTGGCCTGTCTGACATTATTAAAAAAAGATCTAACATCATATCATAACTGCAATGTATTAGGATGAATACACATTCATGTTAGACCGAAAAAGGACAGAGGCACTTTAGTGATCACGTGTTTCTTGTCCTTTTTTTCGTGAGTGTTTAGTTTTGTGTGCGTATATGTAGACTAGCGGTCAGACAAAGAGAAATAAAAGGTTTCAATATGGAAAGTAGCATTTGCACAGCTCATTGACTCCACTTTATGACTCTGTAATGGCCTTGCAGTGTTTGTTGGCTTTCCACATTTCCAGTGGAATTGCAAAACCGACAGGTGCTCGCCACCATGCACTCTCTCTCTCTCTCTCTCTCGCACTTCCTTTTATGTACTCCTTTCTCTTTCTCGCTCCTTATGCCCTTCTGTCCTCCCCTCAAATTATTTTTCACTATTTCGTCTCTCACTCTCCCTCAGTGGGAAAGCAGAGCTATTCCAGCGCTTACACATTGTATAGAACAGCAGATCTGCCGCCTTTTACTGACACAAATTGTCACCTTAGTGCCTCAAACAGATGAAGGGTGCTCAAACATCAGTTTTGTTGTCCTTGGCGTAGTTTATGTCCTTAAGAGCCTTTTGAGTCTTTGATATTGCAAATGCTATGCATCTTATACTACATATGCTGCCTGCCACAAAAGTATATTAAAGCTTGGTGCATGCCATATGGCAAAAATATCATATCAAGATTTTATTTCAGTATCACGATTCTTCCTGATGTTGGTTTTAATAATTTGGCTTTCTGTGTTTTCTGTTCAGTTTTCTGAGTTGTACAGCCAAACTTTCTTTTATTTTAAAAACAAAGCCAGGCAAGGTAAGAAATTATTTAATAATGAAATCAATTAAACAAAGATTCAGATAAAAATAACTCTATATCTACTACACTGAACAAAATGATGTCTGCTGTTTGTTCAAACTACTTAAATTCTTTCTTTTTTGATTCTTGAGTTCTTTTGGGACAAATAAACCTTTGATCAAACATAAAACACTTAACTTAATTTCTTCATGTTGTCGCAACACATCAGTTGTGTGGAACCCAGCATTTTTTCCATCCATCCATCCATCTTTACATCCATCCATCCATCTTTACATCCATCCATCTTTACATCATTCCATCCATTCATCCATCCACCCATCTCTACTGCAATCCATCCATCCATCCATCCATCTTTAGATAGATCCATCCTTTCATTCATTTATTCATTCATCCATCCATCTATCTCTACTGCCATCCATCCATCCATCTCTACATCCATTTATCCCTAAATCTCTACATCCATCCATTCCTTCATCTCTACATCCATCCCTACATCCATCTATCCCTACATCTCTACATCCATCTCTACATCCATCTCTACATCTATCTCTACATCCATCCCTCCATCTCTACATCAATCCGTCCATCTCTTCATTTCCACTGTACATCCATCCATACATCTCTTCATTTCCACTTTACATCCCCCCCTCCATCTCTACACCTCTCTCAGGTTGTCTGTCTGTCCATAATATCTATAATTCTTTCAGCATACTGTCCATATTATAGTTATATTGCAGTAATGGTTATTAATGCTTTTAATGTGTTTTCAGTACAAATGTTTAAAGTGCATATTGCATCTTTCCAACTGTTGTTTACAGTATACAGACCCAAGTCTCGACTCGAGGCAACCCATTTTTGGTGTCTGCATCAAATTATACTTGGAAAAAGCGATATCATTTACTGTGAAAGCATATTAAATGCCTACTTTAATGTTTCAAATATCTTTTGAAAGTGAAGATTCAAGATCTGAGTGAAATATCCTTACCCATTGTCGTTGAGTCTTATAGATATATTTATGAAACATTTAACAGCATACAGTACTCCCTGCATTTATTAAAAGAAAAAAATGTAATCGTGCTTAATTTTACTTTATTTAAAAGGTTAATAATGTAAATAAGTTAGATACAATTTATTGTGTATAAAAGTAAGTAAATGTATAGGTGAAAATGAAAGTGGTGATATACTTTTTATTACATGTCCCATATAAATTCAACTTCATATTCATAATGCTAACTAAGGGGTAACACTTTAGTTTAAGTAACAATCTGCACCATTAACTACTGGCTTATCACAAGGGTAGCGGACATTTTTTGTTATTTCTCTGCAGCGTTCTATAAAAAAAAATCTCTGAATTTATGTGGAATGGTTTTGAGAGTATTGTAACTAAAATCTTAATATATGAAATGAACAATAATAGCTTTTTTTTTGTTAAGTTTACAATGCAAATCCTATTAGATCCACTTATTTGGTAAACAAAGCAAGTCTCTCATATAATATATCCACTAAAAGACGGAAAATACTTCTACTTTTGTTAATAATCAAATGAAATGTTTTAAATATTAGTCAATAATATTACTGAGATTAAGTGTGCTTTCACACCTGTGAATCGATTCAGTTGTTCCGAAACAGAGATTAAAATTGTTACATTGTTGCTCTTTGCTCTTGGAGCGGTTCGCTTTCACATTGCAAAGTTTCTAATCGGACCAAAAGAGCTAAAACAAGTCACGTGCGAGTAAACTCTCCTTACACTGGTCAGAGTGTCAGGGTTTATTTTGCAGTGTCCCGCTCAGCTGTCAGGAGAGGTGGTGGTTTGGTGGTGATTGACAGGGTGCGCGCGCGTGACGTGTCTGAGGAGAGATGCGGTGGGGAGGGGTGAGAAGGGTGCGCGACGATGCCTATTTGAGGACTGGGAGAGAGACGCGAGATTACCGGGAAATCATCACTCGTTTGCGGGCATCCGGAGACTCACGAAACTTCCCGCCCTACTCATAATTCTCTCTTCATATAGCCGTATGCCTATTACATATCCATAAAATACTGTGATATAAGCGCGCTCGGATCAGATCGCTTTCTCACTGCAATCGAACCGCTCCAGGGTTCGTTTCAATCGAGCAGAGACCACCTCACTCAAGCGATCTCAGAGCAATTACTTTGGCGCAGAACAGAGCGCGATTGCCCTGTTCACATATGCCAATCGAACCGCGCTAACTGGGCAAATGAGATACGTTCCGAAACAAAAGTGTAGGTGTGAAAGCACCCTAATTCAAAAACTGAATAAATATAAATTCATACAATTTTACACAAGTAAATAAATTGACTCAATGGGCTTAAAATTTGCGGACTTTTGTGTTGGCCTATTACCTGCTCATTATTAAGATATTAACATTTATTAGCACCTAAAAAGTATGATCTTCTTTTACATCCCCAATCTTAGCTAATGACTAAACAATCTACTACCTATAACTATTAATAAGCGGCTCATTAGTAGTTTATTGAGCTAATATTTATTATTGGTTTGTTAATAGCATAAATTGTACTTTGAAATGAAGTGTGACCCTAATTTTGAATTATGAACTTTTAATTTAATGCACTTCTGTTCATGCTTAGGCATGCACATTTATTTAAATATAGTAACATTTCATCATCTGATTCAGACAGTGAATTAACCAAAAACTCCAGCTTGCGTTTTGTCCACATTGTGCAATGTAGATTATTTCTGGAGTCATACTTTTATTAACACTGTATATCATTTACTCATGTCTCCAGGCTAAAATTGTGTCACTCAAATTTGGAATCGCCCCCCATTTCACCTGAAACCCCGACTATGGTGATCAAAGGCAAAGCAGCGAGACAGAAGGGCCTTAAAAAAGAATCGAGCAACCTCAGTCATTTTTTTCAGAAGAAGACCTCTGTGACTCTCCCGTCAGAGACTCTTCACGCCTCAGTCAAATCCGAACCTATGGAGGTGTGTGTTCAGCAACCTGGCATCTTCAAGCAAGAGAGTCTGGAGGATGCGAGAAACAGAGTGAAAGAGGAGAAGATGGATGTCACTGCTTTTCCTTCCACATCACAAAGCTGTAAGCCGGCGGTTAAAGGTGATAATCATCTCATATTTATTTTTGTTGGTTATGCATGTTGGGGTGAACGTATATTTGATGAATAATTCAAGTTATATAATGTATAACGCTTTTTACTGTAATTATTAGCCGCATTTCTACTGTTTGGCCAGTGCAAGCCAAGGCTTTGTAATTGGGCCAGGCCAGGCCAATAGCCAGGGAGCTTGAGCAGTGAGGCCAAAATTAGGGCTGGGCGATATGGGCAAAAAATCATATCTCTATTTTTAGAAGGGATGGACAGTATGACATATATATTCAGTATTTTCCCATCACTTGAAAGTCAAAGCCTTTATTAAAACGTTTAAACATTTTTTAGAGCAAAATATAATTTTCCTTTCCTATAGTTTTCCTTTCTGTTATTATCATGATTGTAGATATCATTCCTATATTGTTAATTGTTAAAAGAGTTGCTAACAGCGAGATATAAAAAAAAAGGTAGTACAAATGGTTGACATGCATATTTTTTTTTATTTTCCTTTTTTTTTTTAAGCTTTAATAATTGTTTAAACCACCAACGGTTTGTACACTAGGCACACACAAATCAAATCACGTCTTCCAGTTAAGGGGCTAAAATAAATAACTCAAACAGAATAAATAAATACAATGATTAGAATATAATTGGAATTGAAGTCAATATGCAATAACAGACCAGAACGCAGAGCTAAATGTGTTATAACGTAAATGTAAAGAAGAGACCGTTGTGAAATAAACACTGAACTGATAATCAGTGAATATCAGGGTGGTTTCACTTTCAAAATGCGGTATAAATTCGTCCCATTTTGGCATTTTCATTTCACATTCAGGTGCTGCTTGTCAATTTGACAAGGCTTCTATATTCGTTGTTACTGTCAATTGCGGAAGAAATGATCGATAAAAGGTTTCTGATAAACGGGTTTGACGCACGAGGGGGAATCAGATTTGTCCGGGGAGTCAGATTTCAATACAACACCGGCACTGCATGTTCCTCCATGTCGCGTCAGTGATGGGTCAATCTTAAACGATTCATTCATTTTTAACATATCTTTTGTATGACTCAGGGAGTGAATCATTCATTTGCGCATGCGCTCATTTGTCACAAGTGGAACTTGCATGCTACCTTGGAGTGGTCTGTTTCATGCAGAATGCACGTGTGGCCTCAAACCATATCGATATGAAAGATATTAGATATGCCTGCATCACAGTGGGGAATCGTATCGATATATGCCCAGAACTCTATATATCGCCCAGGCCTAGCCGAAATAGCTCGTAGCGCAGCACGTAAACCCCCTCATGCAACATCATGCAATCCACCCAGTTTAGATCCAGGCAGATACAGCTCACCATTATTATAACAAAACGATTAAAATGGAGACAGCCAAAACAAGCAAATTGCACGTAACTGTAAAACATTACTTTATATGTCTTTGCGCATAGGTCTTTGTATTTTCATTCATTATATTCGTTTGATTGCTGACTGACCGTTGGGATTGTACATCAAGTGGTCTTGCCACTGACGGAGGGATGACCCAGCTAACCCTCATAATATAAAACCACAGAATTTATCCGTTATTAACTCCATGTAAAATATTTTATAACATCCTTGTTTAGGTAGACGCCGTCAAACATTCAGCCAAATACTCCAGAGCGACCTAAAACATGCATTTTTCTCTTGGCTATATGACACTTAATAGATAATTCCTCTTTATTTAAGAGAATAAATAAAGTATTTTGCATATTATTCGGTTATCCTAAGTCAGGGATGTCTAAACTCGGTCCTGGAGGGCCGGTGTCCTGCTGAGTTTAGCTCCGACTTGCTTCAACACACCTGCAAGGAAGTTTCTAGTATGTCTAGTAAGCTTGATTAGCTGGTTCAGGTTTGTTTGATTAGGGTTGGAGCTAAACTCTCTAGAACACCGGCCCTCCAGGACCGAGTAAGTAAAGTAAACCGTTAAGTGTTTTAGGATATAATAGCAAGTAGTAAAATATAGGCTAGCCTATATCATTGTGCTTGCGTCAATCTGCATCTGTTTTAAGAAAAAAATGTAGCCTATCATACAATTTATAAAAGTAGTGTTAAATATTTCAGAATGACAAATCTCCACTGATTCTCTCCAAAGCATTATTACAATTTAAAATATTAAATATTTTTCTAATAAAGATCTATATTTAAAATTTCATTTATAAAACAAAAAACATACACACTTTTTTGTGGACATAGAACACTTTTTTTTGTTTTGTTTCAAAGCAGCTTTACAAAAAGCGCACATTACTGTATTACAATCAAAATCAGAAAAGATCTTGGTTACCACGCCTTTATTAATTGCTAATAACTTTAATTAACTAGTAACTAATAGATTTTAAACGTTAAAATTATTATATATAAGCATAGTTAACAATTATATAGGATAAGGGTTGTCATACATGTACATGCTCTTTGAAGTGTAAATGTAAAACAATTAAATTCATTCTATTTAATTCACGCTGTTTATGATGCTTAATTTTTGAAAGACTTTATATCAGAGTGGGTTTTTCTCCTGTTGTGTTGTATTGTTGTTGTTTTTTTCTCACTATGAGTTAATTATTGTATTTGTTTATTTCATTTAATGGTGTTCAAGAATTTCATTTGTTCTGTTTCTAATAATGATTAACTTTCAGTAATGTGTTTTCCAGTGGAATGTCCTGTCTGTGGAGTAGGTGTACCCGAACAGCACATTAATAAACATCTGGATATGTGCTTGAACAGAGACGATAAGAAGGAAGGATTGAGAAGGTATGGAGAATAGTTGAAACATAGCGCAACAGTACTGTGTGCAGATTGATGGAGCAAATTGAAGTTTTTTATGACAGCAAAATATAGTTGCTAAATGTCTGAAACAAGGATTTTAAAGACTAGGTTGGGTCCTGGAGTCCTTGGGTAGACTCTAGTTAGTGCTAGTGTCAGTAGAAATTATTTGAGAATTTTTTTTGTTTGTTTGTTTTTTAGAAATAATTAAAAAACATAATGTGAAAGCAAACAAATAAAAAAATATTATTTTTGATTTATTAAAAAAAATCACTAAAAAGGTATAATATATAAAGACTATATGAATAAATCCATAAATATGATTACATAAATTTGATTAAAAAAATAAATTTAAAATTAAATTAAAATTAATCATGGTTAATGAATATCAAGTGCTGCCCATACATAGACTTTACTTTGGCAAGCTGCCCAGGAATATTTGGTGGGGACACATGAATAATACTATTATTTTCATCCTTTTTTACTTTTTTGTATTCATCCAAGTAAGCCAAACTATCGCGATCGATTAACCAGTTGAAAATCTTTACTTGCTCTGCACGTTTCCTTCTGCTGGTTCTGTGTTCGCGAGAAGCATCAACACTCACGTGCTCTTCAGACCCTCAGAGACGTGCCTTATGCTCATATGTGTCTGACCGTAGTTTCTAAATGTCTGAAACTATTCGGGTTTTGCTTTCAAAAGTCGTCATTATTTGTATGCGTTTTTGCGTTACCACTTCGCAGCTAACTGCGCACACAACTAATGGCTACACTAAATAATCTTTTTTTAATCTAGTAATTATTGTAATTTTGAGCAATAATGTCTACTTTTATTCCTTTTTCTGTTATTTATTTCTCATTTGCTGTATATTTTATAGATTTAATGATGTTAATATATTACACACTTTATACATATCTAAAATGCTTTGGCAATACTGCAAATGTCATGCCAATAAAGCAACTTTAGAGAGAGAGAGAAAGAGAGCAGCCTTTACCTGTCAGTGGATGCACATGGCAACTAAATAGCATTAAAGCGAAATAGTGGATTTATTTTATTTCAATAGCCTTTTTAAATAACTTTAAACTATTGAAAAGAAAAGTTGTATAACAGTGTCATAATAAAAAAGTATAGTTAAAAATCACATTATTTTTTTAGTTTGTCGCATGTTGTTGACCATTCAAGTGCTGTGGGTAAAAGGTGTGTTTCAACCCGGCTACCACCGCAAGTATATTTCAGACCTGTGGGAAGCATTGATATCATAATATAAATCAGTGCTTTTCAGGTTTTGAAATATACTTGCGGTGGTAGCCGGTTTAAAACCCACATTTTACCTACAGCACATAAATGATAAAAAATAGCTTTTAACACCTTTTATATGACACAGTTTCTTTTCACTGGCTTACAGTATAAAAAAATAAATAATAATATTTTTTTTTTTGCTATTCAGGAGCCATGAGCACCCACTGAAAGGTAAAAGCTGTTGCTCTCTCTCTTTCTCTTAGATATGTATTTAATATGTAATATGTTAATATCAAGTCATAAAATATGCAGCAAATGAAAAATAAATGACAGAAAAATAAAAAAAACAGACAATATAACAAAAAAATATAATAATTACAAGAATAAAAATGTAGATTATTTAAATAAGGCAAATGAGTTGTTTAACCATTTCTAATGATGTACACATATTTTGCAGCCAGTTTAGATGTGCTTTCATCCTCCAAGTATAAAGTTTTTCTGAGTTGTGTAGTTATTTCCTTTGGGGTTGTGCGCAAGTTCAGCTGCGAAGCCAAGCGGAAGTAAATCAAGCTTTAATAAAAAGGTAATATAAAAACATACTGTTAAAGACCGCTATAGTAAATGAAAGCGAAAGCTGAATACTTGACATTTTAGGAGATTTAGAAACCCGTCCCAATCCCAAAAAAGTGCATCTCTGTGGGTCTTGGCAGAGCATGTGAAATTGCTGACCATTCTCGCGTGCATAGAATTAGCAGTACGAAATTTGTAGAGAGAAAGATTTTTCAGTGGTTTAAGCCTGGCGAAGGTGATGATAATAATAGTAAAAAAAAAGTGTGTAACCAAATATACTTGAGTGGTCGTTTATAAAGTCTATGTGTGGGAAGCACTGTAAACAATTTTATAAACTTGGTATAAATGTATTATTTATGTCATCTTAGACACAACGTACGTAGATTCTGTTCAATTTTGCTGAAAAAAATTATAAAAAAAAAAATAAGTCCAAACGAGGAGTTTAATGTAGCACATGCTAACAACTCGAGTGATTCATACAGCGAAACACTTCAAGTATGTTGAAACTCTACTTATCCAATCAAATAAATGGAGCAGAGCAAATTGCTGTATTATATAGTTTAATTAGCTTTTTTAAAGGAAGATTGTTCTTTTGTTGTAACAATTGTTTGCCTATATGTCCTAAAAATGTAGATTTCTAAGATCCATTTATTTTTTTACCTAATTAGAGGCCATGTGCAATTGTGTGTTTTTTTTCATTGTGTTGGTTGAAGTTTAACAAATGAACTGATTGCAACTTTTATTGAATGGATGGTTTATAATTTTTATTTTTGACCAATAGAGGAGGAGTATTTGTGGTTAAAGATTTGTGTTAAATACCATTCCCAATAGATTGTAGCATGTCTCCATCTCTCACCTTGTTCTTGCCACGGATTTTTCACCTGAGGGACATTGTGAAGGCCTGACATTTGGTGTGTGTGTGTGTCTGATTGACAGAAAGGGTGATTTAATTTACTGGACACCTTCAGGGGTAACGTGATGAATGAGGAGCGTGTGTCAGCACTTCTGTGGCCTAAAGCCCATCCTGATATACCACTGCTGCAGATGAAGGAAATCTGCACATTTTCATGCTTTAATTAGGCCTTTTATTTTTGTGTAGTAGAGTAGGGTCTGATACTTGCAAGACTTAAATATTAAGTATAAGTGGTAATTTCACCTTCTTATCAAATCTAGGCCCTGGCAGACTTTTTAAAAAACTAATGAACAATTTTAGTTTTTGCTTTAAAAGCCTGACAAAATATCTATTTATTAACAGGTTCTTTATTTTGTGGTTCACATGGTGTTTTCTCTTTATTTGCAGTAGTGATGTTGAAAATTCAACTCTACTGTTAAACAAACTTTATTAAAATTTTAGTAGTTTGAGACAAGATTATGTTTAAGATGTAGTATAGACAGAATGAAGGCTGTATAATAACAGAAAATGTACTGACAGTTTATTATAAAGTTTTTGTACCGTCATTTACAACACAAACTATTTAAAATGTCAATAAAAGTTACTTTCCAAATATATATATATATATTTTGGGCTTGGGTGGTATGCAAATTTTGATACCGTCAAACCTCCTCCCTATTTTACCTCGGTATCCGGTATTACCATGCATAATAAAAACAATTATGACGTAAGACTCAGACAGCAATTGTTGGCTTGTGCCTAAACCATTCAGAAACTGAAAACCGTATTTGTGACCTTAGGTTTGCGGTCACCTGTTTGTCTTATTCGTATTAGAGATCTGCGCAGGACGCTCTCTCTCTCATTCAAGCACACCCACACACACACCCACACACACACCCACACACACACACACACACACACACACACACACACACACACACACACACACACACACACACACACACACACACACACACACACACACACACACACACACACACACACACACACACACACACACACACACACACACACACACACAGAACGAGAGAGAAACCGCACCAAAGCGACACACAGCACTACGCTCTCTCTCTCTTTCTCTCTCTCTCATTCACACAAACACAAACGCGCATGCTCGCTCGGTAGCGATATTGTCAGACCGCACACCCGCTCCCTTTCAAATTACACCAGAGTTATCGACCGCTCCCGCCCTTTATTCGGAAATTTAATCCTGCACCGCAAGAAATCTGCTCAGCTCCCGCGGTACAGCAGTGGGAATGCAGACCTCTTGTTCGTATTTACCACGGCTGCATCCGAAACCGCATACTTCCATGCAATATAGCACGCTAAAATCAGTACGCGGGCTGAGTAGCGTGTCCGAATTCATAGAATTCGAAAATCAGTATGCGAGAAGTACCCTGATGACTTACTACTTCCGGCAAGATTCTGGAGTGTGCATCCCATGCACGCTGCACTATCCCATGATGCCCCGTGAGTAAATTCATGAATGAGAGTGAATGACACAGGTAGGACACGTGACCATGACAACATGGCGGATGTAGTACGTCCAAATTTCATTAATACTCTTCACATTCATACTGTATCAAATGTACTTTTCTAACAGCCGAGCATGACGTTTAAAGTCAAATGCAGTACCTACTAAGTAGTAGGCGGTTTCGGACACAGCCCACATTTCCCTTCTCGTTCGGTCGAAACCGAAATATTGCCAAACTGCAGGTGCGCTCGCCACCACACCTCACCTCTCTCTTTCTCTCTCTCCCTCTCCCCCCCCCCCCCCCCCCCCCCCCACACACACACACACACACACTGTCCCGTGATGACAATCACGCATACACATTTTTTGAGCGCTTAGAAGAAACCCACATGAACACGGAGAGAACATGCAAACGCCACACAGAAATGCCAACTCGAACTAATTACCTTATTGCTGTGAGGCGACAATGCTAACCACTAAACCACCATGCCACCAGCCCCAAATATAGACTAATGTCATGCACATATTTCAAGTAATTCTTTTTTGTAGAGTTAATTTAGCTGCTGTCATCAAATGACTTGCATGAGGGAAATGTAATGCCACGAGATGCATTGTTTAGTTAAAATGGAGTAATTGCATGAGATGTTAAATCATTTAATTAAAAATTTTACTAGACATAAAGATTAATGAATGATGCCATTAATGTGGTTTTGAACTTAATCATTTATACAGTTATTTGTCTCATCATACCAAAGTGTCAAAACAGCAGTTGTTATTAAGTTTTCTCATTAAATAAACAAAATGTTACAAAAATGTACTTTCTTATTAAAAGCACAACTGAATCAACATAGACGAGTATTTTGTTTTGTATATTGAATATTTGGTCCCACTTTATATTAAGTGTCCTTAACTACTACATACTTGCATCAAAAAATAAATACAATGTACTTACTGTGTTTATAATGTATTTGAGAACACTTGTGGTGCTTTTGAGTTGGGATAGAGGTTGGGTTATGGACAGGTTTGGTGGTGTGGATAGGTTTAAGGGTCGGTTAAGGTGTAAGGCATGGTCAATAGTGTATTTACTGATGTAATTACAAAAGTTAATTACAGATGTAATTACATGTATTTAATCAAGCATAAGTACACAATAAATGCATGTATTTACACAATAAGTACATTGTAACAAACTATTAATTCTTGTGTAAGTACATATTAGTTAAGGCCACTTAATATAAAGTGGGACCGAATATTTAAATGATGTTCCATGTATTTAAAACGAGAACATATTTGTTTGGAACGTGTAGAAATATATGGTAATACCTTAATATAATCTGCACTCACCGTCCACTTTATTAGGTACACTTGTCCAACTGCTCGTTAATGCAAATTTCTAATCAGCCAATCACATGCCAGCAACTCAATGCATTTAGGCATGTAGACATGATCAAGATGATCGGCTGCAGTTCAACCCTAGCATCAGAATGGGGAAGAAAGGTGTTTTAAGTGACTTTGAACGTGGCATGGTTGTTTTTCCAGGCAGGCTGGTCTGAGTATCTCAGAAACTGCTGATCTACTGGGATTTTCATGCAAAAGCATCTCTTGGGTTTATTTGGATGGTAGGTCAGCTGTCTCCTTACCTATCCGGGACAGTGTTTTTAAAATGAAGCCATTTCTGAAAAGGACCAGCATTAAGTTTTGTGGAAGTCATGTGACAGAACATTTCTGTAGTAAATGTAGTGTTCTGTAAGACAAGAGCTCTGTTCTTTGACCTGAAAGCAAAGCACTGTGTTTTCCACAGAATGCAATCCACCAGATAACACCTACTCTTCCACGTTGACAGTGTTATGTTGGGAGGATTTCTTTTTCAGATGGTAAAACTGAAAAGTTTGTTGGCATCAAGGCCAGCATGGATTAAACCAAATGCATGCAAATCCTTGTGGAGAACCTGTTTCACTCTGCCAGAGATATGAGTTACTTTCCAGCACAATTGCTTCACAAACTACACAGCATAACTATAAATTAGTCATTTGTATTCTAGACACAGACTCGAACGCAATTGAAAATTTGTGCTATGACCTAAAGTCACCCTCGATCTAAATTGCTAGTGGTGCAACAGTTGTATTAAAGAGTGGGCAAAAATGCATGGTATGAAACGAGTTGAGTTCTCACAATATGTTTTAATTGGATTCCCTGAAAACAGCTGATACAACACTTTTGCGTATACTTCAGTTCTGTTCAGTAATAATGTTCCAAGTTGCTGCTTTTCTTCGATGACCTGCAGTTTGGCTAATGGACTGTATTAATTGAAGAACATTGATAGTTAATATTTTGCAGAATAAATGTAATTATCTAACATTTATAGCCTTCATAACCTCTTAATCTTATGGGTAGCATTATAATGAACAGCCTCGATTGTCTTAATTTAATGTGCAATAGATATTGAAAATGCCTCAATTATCTGCCTTGTTCAAAGATTGAATAAATTCAGATCCTTCAGTTTGAATAAAATATAATATTTTTTTTTTCATGACAAAGATTTACTTTTCAGCAACACTTTACTTTAAGGGGTGTTCGTAAGACACCTTTATAATTATGACATAACATGTCATGAATGTGAATGAGATTATATGCATCCTTATGACAATTATTGTTTTTTTTTAGTGTTCAAGTGTTATTTTCTCAGTTAGGTCATGACATTGTTTTATTACAACTTGATAAACAAATGCATCACAACCTGTTTTTGTATTTATCATGTCAACTTGACATTACCAAGACAACGTGAATTGTCATAAATCTGTTGTAAACATTAACACACGTGTACATGTTAAGTTACTAGCATCTTGCATAATAAGTTGAAAAATAGTATGTACTGTTGTAGGGCTGAACAACATATTGTTTAAGCATCGATATCGCAATGTGCGTGTTTGTAATAGTCACATTGCATGATTAGATTATTTATTAAAGATTAAAAGATAAATATAGTATTAAATATTTGTATTTAATTATTTATGAAACGTTTACCATGTTAATTTACATATGATTGTTCAATTTCAGTACTTGAATACTGTTACACCCCCCAGTTTTATTTATTTATTTTTTTATTTTTTTATTTTTGCTCTATATGTTTGTAATATATTCAGGGTGTCTGCAGGGTCTTAAAGTCCTCAAATGTCTTAAATCTCAAAAACTAAATTTTAGGCCTTAAAAAGTCTTAACTTTACTGAAATATTGTGCTGTAGGTCTTGCAATTTTTTTTTAAACAGGTTTTATTTTGTGCATGTATAGCTACCCAATCAGGCCAACACCCAACCCATAACACACCATCTCAATAAAACTTTAACTTTTTAAGAGTGTAATTTTTTACTTCCATAATGGTTGAATTATTTTCCTTACAATAACACTTGTTTAAATTTTTCATGTATTTCCTGCTGAGAAAGTTGACCTGGACGGACTGTTGTGCATGCATTTAGTTTATTATAGTTTTTAAAATCTTTCGAACTTTTTTAATTTTTTTATTTTAAAGTAAGATAATTTTGAAAAAAAAATTTATGTATACAACTAGAGGTTTCTTGTTTTGACACCATGAAATATTTTGCTTTCATTTTTAATTTATTATTAAACATTAATTTTGTACTAATAAATTATAAAAAAGTGTGATAGGGCAAATTTTACATTTTTATTCTTATTAGTCTTAAAAATGAGGCGAAGCTGTGGGTAGAGCTGTAACCTCAAAGCGAGACGGTCGCTGGTTCGAGCCTCAGCTGGGTCAATTGGCATTTCTGTGTGTAGTTTGTATGTTCTACCCATATTTGTGTGGGTTTCCACCAGGTGCTCTGGTTTCCCCCACAAGTCCAAAGTCATGTGATACAGGTGAATTGCGGCCAAATTGGCCGTAGTGTATGAGTGAGAATGTGTGTGTATGGATGTTTCCTAGTGATAGGTTGCGGCTGGAATGGCATCCGCTGCGTAAAACATATGCTGAATAAGTTGGCAGTTCATTCTGCTGTGGCAGCCCCAGATTATTAAAGTGACTAAGCCAAAAAGAAAATGAATAAATGAATGAATGGTCTTAAAGATGTTTTAAAGTCTTAAATTAAACTTGCTAAAACCTGCAGAATCCTTTTTATTATAATTTATACTGATGCACTGCATAGAAAAAGACTTGATCATCCCAGTTGGTAAAAAGCTAAATAAAATCTTCCCAAAGAGAGCTTTTAAAATCATCTGAAATATCACAATATCTGATTTTTCCAATATACTGCAGCTTTATCGTCATGGCAAAGACCAAAGAAATTAAAACAGTTATGTTTAAAAACATGCTGAAAAAAACATGCTTCCCTCCTTTAAACAGCACTTGGGAAATACTTTAAGCACTTGGGCCAAGAATTTTGACTTTAACTTCAATATATAAAGGTATTTCTTTTCTTTTTTTGGGGAGGGTTGAACTATTCTTTATTTTTGCTCTTGAAGTGACCCTGGAATTCTGTGTGTTGTTGTGTATCAGCAGTGGAAGACGAAAGGCAATGCCCAAGCTGTTGTACACTTTGATAACTGTGCCAAAGCTCAAGAAGATGCTTAAAGAATGCCATCTTTCTGCTCAAGGCAACAGAGAGCAACTCACGAGACGCCATCAAGAATTCACGCACATCTATAATGCCCAGTGTGATGCACTCAACCCTAAATCAGGTATAAATCAATCCATGAAGGAACAAACAATTTAATGAATAATGGTATATACTGTAGGTAATAAAGTGCATGCTTATGATTTAATCAAGTAAATGTTCTGACATGACCATTAATGACTGTAAAATGTTTGTTGTCAATACTATATTGCTTAAAGTGTTAACTGGGAATTTACACTCAGTCCAGCTAGTGTAGGTGGTGTATTGTAATTTACGTGCTGGAGTCACACTGGGGGAAAAGAAAAATACAGTAGTTTTATTCTTCACGTTTCTTTTGAGTTACTGCTCTCCTTCTCACTGACCCTTTCAGAACGGAATTTCTCTCTTTTCATTGAGCTGTCAAAGGGTTCACAGGAAACCATCTATTTTTCTTTCTATCACCCGATGTTGCTATGGTTTCTGTTTGAAGACTGAACTTATGTTTGGATTGTATTTTTCCCCACTGTTTTGTCATGTACCATTGAGTGAATTAGTAAATTGCACTGCATTGGATGTAATCAGTTGATGTAAAAGCTGATTGTCGTGATTTTCAGAATTATTTTGGAGTTCACATTCTGTGTTCACTGGCGGTAATGATTTGTGCAACACATTTAGTTTGTGACCTAGAATAGATACTGTATATGTGGAATCCTTCACCTGTTGGTTATTAAGTTTGCTTCAAAAATGTTGGTTGTATTTATCTTTATTTTAAATGTTTTTTTGTTTAACAGCTGAAGAAATCGCCAAAGAAGTTGAAGCCAATGAGCGACTAAAGAATCAGCTGGACAGTAAACGGAAACCTGTATGTACTACTATGGATTGTCGTTTCTAAATGATAAATACTGTATTAGGGCTGTCAATCAGTTAACCATTTTAATAGAATTGCTTGCACAAACATTTCATCTGATTACACACATTTAGGTTATAATTGTATTATGTATACAATATTTTTGTTATTGAATCTAAATGGCTTTTTAGATATTATAGGCTGTGCTATTTGGATACATTTACAGCATTTATTGCATGTCCCAAATATTTTTAATGACTGCAAAAGAAAGAAGCAACACAAGGGTGATTAAATATATAATTTTCATTTTTGTGTAAACATTTTTGTTAATTTATATGAGACTATAACATGATTTAGTTTAATGAAATAATATAAATTATGAGATCAGGTCTATGGGATGTTTCATAATTGGTCCATTTGTCCAAGAATGAAAAAAAATGTTCCATTTTCTGATGAACAAATATAGTAATTTGCTCTATTTTTATAAATTTCCATTGTAATTTCCATCCATGCATTTATGGTAGAACTTTCTTGTGACAACTTTTTTTGGTAATGCTCTTTTTGTCAGCCACCAACAAGATATTCATCAGATACTTATTTCTTTTTTTGTTTTTTGTTTTGTTTTTGGGATATTTCAGCTTTTTATAAGTGCTGTGACTTTGAAACAGCTTTTTAGATTTTTATTTTTAGTTATTTTTTATAATTATAATAATAACATCTCTTTCCCCCCTTATTATACGTGTTTCCCAGGTAATCATCACTACAAAGAACCAGACAGCCGAAGAAATTGAGGAGGTGCACTCGATGTATCGTAAGTCCTGACTTCTCAAATCTCACATTTAAAAAGCAATGAGACTTCTGCTCTGCTTGAATTAGAGGATGTGCTGTCCTTGCGCTGTTGGAAAATAATGTTTGAGGGATGTCACAACAGGGTCACATTCATTCTCCTGCTCATCCCCATGTATTGTAAAATAAAAATGCCATTGAAATCTGCACTGAAAATTATTGACTACTACTGCTTCAAGGTTGACTAAGAAAATGCATTTGCTCAATGACCAGTCAGGTAAGGATGAAAGAAATCCCTTGCTTTAGCAGTGGTTAGATTGTAATTTATTCTTTAACTGATCTAGAAAACATGGGCTTTTAAAGAAAATTCCTGCTTTTAAATTCTTATTACATTTTAATTCTCAATTTTCAGTCTTTGTATTGGGGGTAACGCATTATAAGTAAAGTGCGTTACGTAATAATATTACTTTCCAAAGTAACGAATAAAGCATAGGTCTCAAACTCAATTTCTGGAGGGCCGCAGCTCTACACAATTTTGATTGCACCCTAATAAAACACAGCTGGTCCAACTAATCAAGGTGTTCAAGACTACTAATCTCTAGTCTTTACCACTTTGATTGGTTGGAGCACCTTTAATATATGGGGCATCTTTGTTTGATTAGGGTTGGAGCAAAACTGCAGAGCTGTGGCCCTCCAGGAATTGAGTTTGAGACCTATGGAGTAAAGTAACATTACTTTTAGGAATAAGTAAAATTATTTGAGTTACTTAAAAAAAGGAACTCAAGGTACTTTTTACCTTGCTTAATTGGCTTTTACAAAATAAATTGTAGAATAAAAACTACCTTAGTCAGGTTGAATCACACAGAGAGCGTGCCGTGAGGGAACAGACAGTTAACTTGCACTCATCATCAGGTCTCTTTTTCACAGCATGAGTCAGTGTACTGTTCTAGTAACTGAATAACTCAGGATATTAGTTTATTTCGAGTCAGGGGTTATCGGGTATGTTAGTACTAAAGACGCAAACCATTTCATGACAACGCCATCCCATTTAATGAACTGGTTCAACTGGTTCGCTGAGAAGATCCAGTTAAAAACGAGCAATTAATTTAAGAATTACTTGTCATCGCTACAGACAGTCAGAAAAAGAAATCATAGCAGGCCGGAGATTTACATTTTAGCAATGGATTCTTGTTAATTTGAACTCATCGAAGAAAAGGAAGTGGATTGGTGTTAAGTGTAGATTATGTGTAAGTAAAACTCTTGACAATTGCAAGAAACACAACATAAAAAAACAAACAAACAAACAACTGGATGTACACCCGCACTTCATCTCCAGCTAAGCAACAAATGATTGACATCAGCTCACAATCTCCAGGTAAAACAATTAATTCGACTAAACTTAAAAAAAAGGGTTATTGGGAGATGCAGCCATTGTATATTGTAGAAGTGACTATGTTTTATAATATAGTAAGATTTTTTTTCTCTTTTGGGAAACTATTTGCACATTTGTTAAGGCAACGTGAAGCAATTATTCAGTGTTTAAAGCTCAGATTTATTTAGGGGAATGTTTTTTTTATCGTCTCACTGTTCATTTTATTAAACATTTTAAAAGTTTAAAATCTGTTTTTGCCTTAATATAAATTATTTTATGTTAGTACTCGAAGGCTTTATTGCAATCTTTATCATAATGGACAGGGAATTTGCTTAACTAATAACACAAAATGTACAAAAGTAGCAAAAACATTATTTAACATGCTTTTATTATTATGTATGTGCCGCATGTATAGCTCTGGGCTCAGAAAGATATCTAAAAATATAATATCCTATATTTATTAAAGGAAAATGAAGGTTATACAGGTTGTTGTTTAATGCAGAACTTATCTATACAAAAACATGAAAAAACACCTGCTAGTTCTAAAATAAATCAAACCTCAGATAGGTACGGAAAAGCAACGCTAAATTAACTCAAGTTATATAACACACTACTTTTCATAAAAAGTAACTAAGTATCGTAATTAGTTACTTTTTTAGGGGAGTAACTTGATATTGTAATGCACTACTTTTAAAAGTTAAAAAATTAATAAACTTTAAATTGATGTAAGCTGCTGTTAAATATTAATTGTTGTAATTAAAATAAAACAAATAGCTGATTAAAGTGCTATCCAAAATAGAAAAACACAGTGCGTTTCTATGCAGAACTTGTCTGTCCGATTATGGCACATCTGCTATCGCAATCATCAAGCGTTCCTATTTTGATTTGCTGCTTTAATGTAATGCCCATGTATCATCGGTGTGCTCTGGAAGGGTACTAGCAATTTCCGTTTCCACCTCATATATCAGATCTTGCTCAGGTGCGGTCTGGACTCCATGCAGAACTGTGCTGCAGAGATTTCCAAACCGAATACAGATTTATCTATGCCGTGAATGTAGCCGCGTACTTCATTTGAAGTTTGTCTCCAGACGATTTCATTATGCATAATCTCACTTCCGTTATCCTCAGTGGTTCTTAGCCAAAATGCTTCCTAGAAACCTTTGCCTTTTGTGGCTCCAAGTTCAGTAAGCAGCAGTGTGTGTGAGAAGTAAGAGGAGGAAAAAAAAGAAAGATCCCTCAAGGGGTTGAAAGAGAAGGTGGTGATCAATACGACAATACCAACAGGGTCTCAAGATCGATCCTAGCTCATTAAATGTTCCAATCTGCCTTAGTGACCCGGCTTAGAATGCTTGGACAAAAAAAAAAAAAAAGTAAAAAAAATCAGACAATAGGCTCCAAGCAAGATGCTGTCCAGTGTTTAGTGGACTTCTGTCGAGATGGCTTATTTTTATGCCATCTTAACAGGGATCAGGTACGAATAAAGGAGGTTGTAAGCCACTTTGTGCTTTAATTGAATAAAAGTGTTGATGTTATATAATCTCTCATGTGGATCCAATCCTGAATGACCTAAAGTGCATGAATAAAGGCACTTTCAATCTATAAACGGTAAAAAGCACTGTAAAAGATGTTTGTTTAATTCTGTAAATTAAATGATTATTTAGAAGCAGACCTTTTCATTTAATTGGCTGTTAACAGTTTAGAAAAAAGTCTTCTTAGTCTGGTTGTTAAAAACAGTATATTTTTTGTGTCTTTCTCTTACAAAGCTGAAAATAAGGGGACCTGAAATATTATGCACAAGTCTTGTGGATCTTGTCATGGTACCTTTATGGTGTTTTTGTCTTTCAACAGCATCTTGAAAGCCTCAGTTTACATTGGGACCAATAACACAGAAAAGCAAACTGCAATTCTGTTTTTTATTTTACAGAATAAATTCATACAAGTTCAAGATGGTAAAATTAATTTTTTTAAAATAAATAATAATAGATTTATTTATTTATATTTACTGTTTATTTAATTTTATTTTTATATATAGGGCATTTTTTCCAGGAGACTCTAATTTTAACATTGAAAATCTTTAACGAAGCTCATCCTCTAAAAATACTGTCGCAATTTTTCCGCAATTGTTTGAATGAGTCTATGGCTTGAACAAAAATACTGACTGAAAATATAAATCTACTTTCTGACAATAGGTGGTGCTTACAAAATTGAGCTTTTTCTCTACTGTAATGTCTTGTAACGTAGCACAAGTTTATTTGTCATTATTTGAAGGCAAGATGAAAAGGAAATGCCTTCACATTTTTTCCCCAAGACAGTTCCATTCAGACACAGAATTATATAAATCATTCATGCTTCATAATTACCCTTAGCATTTCGGAGTTGAATCAACATTGACTCAAGCTGAGTAACATTTGATAGTTAATTAATTTTGCGACATTGCCAGTGTTTTGAATTTTAACTGAATCTAAAGAATTACACCATCACTTCTGACATGTTTTACATGATTTACACTTTCTCTGATTGTCTTATATTTCACATCCAATAACCCAGAAGCCCTGTAACTCATTCAGGAATAGACTAGGATTTCCCTTACCATAATATATCGTAAAGACAGATTGCAGTTTTTTTTTAACAATAATTTTTATTTTAAACTTTGTCATGGTTTTAATTTTCAGTTTAGCAAAAATAAAAAATACAACAAGGATGATATAAAAACTAACTTAATACACTTTTTAAAAATAGGAAAAAATAATAATATTAAACAATAAACACCTTACTGGTGCTGTATTGGATAGAGATCTGGTGACTGTGGCGGCCATTTCAGTACATTTGGTACATTGCTATATTGAGCACACTTATTGTCATGTTCAAGAAACCAGTCTGAAATGATTCACGCTTTATGACCTGGCGCGCTATCCTGTTAAAAGTAGCCATCAGAAGATGGGTACGCTGTAGTAAAAAAGCAATGGACATGGTCAGCAGCAATATTCAGGTAGGCTGTGGCGTTGACACGATGCTCAATTGGTACTAATGGGCCCAATGTGTGCCAAGAAAATATCCCCCACACCATTACACCACCACCACCGGCCTGAAACTCCATGCTTTCATGTTGTTGATGCCAAATTCTGACCCTACCATCTGAATGTCGCAGCAGAAATCGAGACTCATCAGAACAGGCAACGTTTTTGCATTCTTCTACTGTTCAATTTTTGTGGGCTTGTGTGAACTGTAGCCTCAGTTTCTTGTTCTTAGCTGACAGGAGTGGCACCTGGTGTGGTCTTCTGCTGCTGTAGTCCACCCGCCTCAAAGTTTGATGTGTTGTGCATTCAGAGATGCTTTCCTGAATACCTCAGTTGTAACGAGTGTTTATTTGAGTTACTGTTGTCTTTCTATTAGCTAGAATACTTTTGGCCATTCTCCTCTGACCTCTGGCATCAACAAGACATTTGCGCTTACAGAACTGGTGCTTTGTGGATATTTGCTCTTTTTAAAACAGTTTTTTAACAGTTTAACTCTATAGATGGTTGTGCGTGAAAATCTCAGTAGATCAGCAGTTTCTGAAATACTCTGACCAGCTCGTCTGGCACCAGCAACTGTGCCACATTCAGAGTCACTTAAATCACCCTTCTTCCTCATTCTGTTGCTCGGTTTGAACT